GAGCAGTATCAGCCAAATTTATAGTTTGGATGTTGTCGTGGTCACTGTTTGTATAGGAAATGTTCTCTTCTTTAAAAAAAGAAAAAGAAAAACAGAAAAGAAAAAAATAGTCTGGCTTGTCAGATCCTGTCCTACTGCCTCTGTACTTCTTTTCCCTTTTGTTCTGGCATGCTGCCTCCCACCTTTCTCCTCCTGTTTGCCCCATCTGCCCATTTCTGATTCAGGCAAGAAGCAAGATGTGGTGTGACTGATTTAGAACATGTGCTGATTTGCCAGCTGGCTGCTATCTCTGAGCTGCTGGGTCAGCCAAACAGAATAGATAAGGTCTGAGCTGTCCTCGCCTCTTCCCATTAAAGTTTCACGTCATTTGCTGTGGCATTTTCCCCATGAGATATACAGAATCTCAAATATACTTAAGGTCACTTTACCTTCCCTCTCCTTTTGAACATGGAAATCCAGAGTAAAAATTAATTTGACATGTTATTAGAATAGTGCTAATAACTGTTGCTGAAGAGAGTAGTTTATTGTGCTTAAATATATAATTTCACTATTATAATTGTTAGCCACATATCAAGCTGTGTGGTGTGGTTGAGACGCTGGAGGAAAGAGATGCCACCCAGAGGGACCTGGACAGACGAGAGAGGTGGGCCTGTGCAAACCTCATGGAGTTCCACAAGGCCAAGTGCAAGGTCCTGCACCTTGGGGCAATCCCAGGCACAAATACAGGCTGGGCAGAGAATGTATTGGGTCCAGACCTGCAGAGAAGCACTTGAGGGGAGCTGCTTGATGAGAAGCTCAACATGAGCCTTCAGTGTGTGCTTGAGCCCAGAAACCAACCATGTCCTGGGCTGTATCACCAGCAGCATGACCAGCAGGTTGAAGAAGGGGATTCTCCCCCTCTACTCTGCTCTGGTGACACGCGCCCTCTGCAGTCCTGTGTCCAGCCCTGGGGCCCCAACTTAAGAAGGGTGTGGAGCTGTTGGAGGAAGCCCAGAGGAGGCCATGAAGATGCTTTGAGGGCTGGAGCACATCTCCTGTGGAGACCGACTGAGAAAGCTGGGGTTTAAGGTCTCGACATGTTATTAGAATAGTGCTAATAACTGTTGCTGAAGAGAGTAGTTTATTGTGCTTAAATATATAATTTCACTATTATAATTGTTAGCCACATATCAAGCTGTGTGGTGTGGTTGAGACGCTGGAGGAAAGAGATGCCACCCAGAGGGACCTGGACAGACGAGAGAGGTGGGCCTGTGCAAACCTCATGGAGTTCCACAAGGCCAAGTGCAAGGTCCTGCACCTTGGGGCAATCCCAGGCACAAATACAGGCTGGGCAGAGAATGTATTGGGTCCAGACCTGCAGAGAAGCACTTGAGGGGAGCTGCTTGATGAGAAGCTCAACATGAGCCTTCAGTGTGTGCTTGAGCCCAGAAACCAACCATGTCCTGGGCTGTATCACCAGCAGCATGACCAGCAGGTTGAAGAAGGGGATTCTCCCCCTCTACTCTGCTCTGGTGACACGCGCCCTCTGCAGTCCTGTGTCCAGCCCTGGGGCCCCAACTTAAGAAGGGTGTGGAGCTGTTGGAGGAAGCCCAGAGGAGGCCATGAAGATGCTTTGAGGGCTGGAGCACATCTCCTGTGGAGACCGACTGAGAAAGCTGGGGTTTAAGGTCTCTTCCAACTCAAACCATTCTGTAATCCAGTTGGTCATCATATTACTTTTCATAAAACAGAAGCAGTTGTGGTGTTGGACATAGAATCATATACTGATGGTCTCAGATGGGAGCTGTTCTGTTTCTATCCCGTGTTGAAACTGTGAAACCACTAGCATTTTCATAGTAAACCAAATGTGTCCTGATGAAGAAGCTTATACTGTGTAAGAGGTAGCTTAAAAAAATACTCAGGGCTGCATGTCTTCACTCTTGAGACAGCATATATATTCACTTGGCTTCAACAAACAAAATAGTAATAAATGGAGGCAGGTGGGTTTTTTTTAATTTTAGAAACCTTAGATACATTAGATTCCTTCCATTTGACAGTGAGTTGAAAAAAGGTAGAAAGGGAATTGGCAGAGGGAAATCCTGTCAGTCTTGGTTCAGGTGAAAATACATAGGTGAGTACATCTTAGTGACATTCTTCAGTACCTAAAAGATAAGTTTTCTCTTCCTATCCTGGATGTTTCTGCTGCATCTGAGATAGATGTAGATTGCTGTCTGCCAGCAGAGGAGCAAAAGCAAGTCCTGCCCTTACCTCTGAAATGGTCCCGTCCTTGAGGGTAACAGCTGGGTAAGCCACTGGCTGGTGCTTTGAGTCCTGCCTCAATGACTGTTCTGTGTGCTCCTTTTCACTCTCTACCTTGCAGATCCTGGTTTGGATGTGGGCTTTGGTGTGAGCAGTTTGCAGGTGACACAACTCTACATGATCTTTTCTGCTTTAGAACTTCTTCAGTTCTTTACTATTCATTACAATTACAAGTTCTCATTATTAGGATCCTCTGGATGTTTTTTGCTAATGCTAGTCTCAACCCTAGAAAATGTTCTTTGCATACATTGCTGTCGTCTGTGTTTTGTTGTAGGAGATACTTCCCTGCTCTGAAGGTGATGCTGTAGCTTGGTATTTACCTTTTCATTACCTCTGAGATGGACTGTAGCAACGCAGCATGCTTGGGCATGGAGCCTCTGAACACCCAGCACTTCTTATCTGTGCTTGTAGCTAAGCAGGCTGCTGTGGGTGCAGTAATTTCCGGTGGGATTTTAAATCAGGCTGAAAATCTTTTCATGGGTTTCTGGGCCCGGCTATCACAGCTGCAGCATTGATGGGTTCGTATGTGCTCAGCACAATGCTGCGTAACGCAGTGTGCACTGTTAATGCTTTCCTTAGGGAAAAATTTGTCTGATATATTGTCTTCTTGGCACAAAGTACAGAACAAACTACAGCTCTAGGTATGTATACTGTATGCTGGGTTTCTTAGATGTAGGGCTTCCTTTTGCTTGTGTTGGGATTAAGTGAGGCTGTGAGACATGGGTTTGTGTGTTTGTGCAGCTTTTTAGAAAATGATTAAATTACTTTAAGACCTTTAGTCTGAATTAAGCTTCATGATTTACAGAGCCTAGCATAATCCATCCTCTTAAAAATGTATATGTGATAGGACTTCTGAGGTTATGTCCATATTGCTGCTTTAATCCAAATAGTCAATAATACGTCCTATGTTGAGGCTGCATTGCCAGTTTATAATCCTGCCTTGTGACTGCACTGGGGAATATGAGTGCAACTTCTTGCTGAATTAAGAGCAGCATCACATCTCTGAGTGCTAAACTCAAACTCAGACTCCAGGCTTGCTATTCTCCTTATCTTACAACAAGTATGATCTTCCTGTAGGAGTAGGAATAAGCTTGCCTTGTAAGCAGGAGCTTACAAGTGAAGTCCTTCAGCATAGTGCTCCACTAGCATTCAGAGCACAGAAAGCCAACAAAATCCTCTTGCATCTGTCTTAGAATGATGACAGAATCACAGAATGGTTTGGGTTAGAAGGGACCTTAAAGATCATCTAGTTCCACCGCTCTGCCAGAGGCAGGGACACCTTGTACTAGATGAGGTTGCGCCAAGCCCCATCCAACCTGGCCTTGAACACTTCCAGGTATGGGGCAGCCACAGCTAAAGATCCAGAGGGGCTCTCCAGTGTCCTCTGTGTTGGCATCAAAGCCCTGGTGAACGAGATTCCCTCAGTATGCCTCCATATCTACGACCCACCCAGGAGCAATAGCTGAGAGTCTGCACCAAGCATGCTGCTGAGGACCTTGGAAGAGTTTCTATTCAAAGTTAGCCAGGTGGAGGGTGCATGTTGTTGCTGCTTACTTGAATGACCCTGCAACATGGCTGTCATGGGACAACCTTGGCTTAAGTAATCATACAGCACGGCTAGTTATGCTGACTGCTATCCAAAGTCACTGTTGTTCCTGTTATGTCAAACAGATATGCATATTAGATCCAAGCATGAGTAAAAAGAGATGATGGACTTGCTTAATAAATGATTCTTTTTGAGAGACAGTGCTGAGAAATGACTATTTTTAAACTTGCTTCTCAATCCATCTGAGCAGCAAGAACTCTGAGAGTAATCTTACATGGCTCCCATGTCTTTTTCCTGCTCTGTTCAAGAGAAATCAGTGATGCTTGTCAGAAGACTTCACTTGTTAATGATGTCATGAGCTTCCTAATCTCATTTGGAAGGTCCAGGACAAGGAGAATCTCTCTCCTTCGTTGTGCGTTTGCTGCATTCTTCCATCTTCTGTAAAGGGGAGGCCGCGTAACCTGCTGTCAGGGCAATGGTGCTGTGCTATTATTTTAAAGATCACTCCAGTATTTTGTACTTGCTGCTTAAAAGCAAGCAAATAAAAAACCTAAGCAAACGTTTAAATTATGCACATAACAGATTAAAGGCATTGCTAGTCTCTGCTCATGCTTTTAAAGGAAACAACTGTTTGCTCTGCAGTCCCACCAGCCATGAAAGAGCTGAGTTGGGCGAGTCCAAGGGTTGGACTCTGAAATTTCCTCTTGAATAACATTTCTGTAGTTCCTGTTCAAGTAGTTTTGGAAATGTTTATGTTGCCTGGGTACTTTGTTTTTAAGAGAGAATAACGCACACAAAGCTAGAGAGAGAAGTGTCACAAGAAGAAAAAAAATGGGAGAGAATGAGGAAGAGATGGTGGCACCATAAGGAAAATCAGTGTCTTTAGAGTTTAAAATTAGATTATTCAGAGCAGCATCTCAAATCTTACTCCTGAAAAGAGATGAACATTGATTTATAAAATAACTTGGGATCTGTAAGTGAGGGAAGATCTTAGGAGAGAAATTAACTTTTTAAATACAGCACTCCAGTGATGAGGCATTAATGATAGAGCAATTAAGCTAAAATCGCTGCAACTAACAGTTTGTTTTTCTTTTGTCTTTCTTCCCCCAACCCTGTATCAAATCCTTTCTGCTCCTGATGCTTTGGGGAACAGCAGGACCCAACCAAAGGTAAAGGCTTTTATTGCACATTAAGTCACTGTGTGAAAATTGTCGTATCACTTATTCAGCCTTGGGTTGTCCAAATATTAAAAGCATTTTGAAAAAACAGCTCTGTAGTTAATCAGCTGTTGAGAATGAAACTTAAAGCATCTCATTGCTGCAGAAGAGCACTGAACAGCCTGTGCCAAAAAATGAGTCACAGGAGCAAATGAGAACATACATACTCAGCATTACAGACTGTGAATGGAAGACTCCTTGTTGTTTGTGGGCTTTTAAAAGCATTTTCTGGTATCTGTGTTAAAGCAAACTCATTTTGCTGTTACAGCTTATGATCCCGTGACTTTGTATTTTATATGAAGACATCAATCTCTACCCTAGCATATCAGGATTCAGCTTTATTGATGTGGTCCTATAGCAAATATTTTATAGCAAATAGTTTTATTAAGGCCTGGGATGTTATAATAGCATGTTGAATTGTATAATGAATTCGAAGAACAAAACCCCCTTGATTTTAAACAAACAAGCTATTGTTTCCTCAGTCAGAGGATGTAAAGTAACCACTTTTATCTCTTCATACAGGGATGTTAACATAGTATAGGGGGAAAAAAAAAACCAAAACACAAAATGAAAATTTCAAGGATTTTGCTATATTAAGCATTTTCATAAATGTAGGTAGTAAGTTGGGATGTGTTGGTAGTATGGATTTTCAACTCCTGCATAATTTTTCTAACTATTTTAGTTTAAATACTTGAGCAAGATTTGCTTTACCACTACTTTAGAATGAGGGTTCAGAAGGTGAATGTGCAATGCTGAAGTGGAAAGAGCAGCCTTCAGGAAGCTTTAGAAGAAATAAACAGCCAAAGAGCAGCACATTACACTTCCCTTTTTCTGTATCCTACAGAATGAATTTTGCCCATGTGGCTATAGGTCAGACATTACCCTGATTTTTGGTTTTTTTTCTTGCAAATACATACCTAGGGGACTTATTTTTGCAAACATCTGCTCCAAAATACATGCTGTCTTATTGGAGGTCAGCTTTCATGATGAAAGTTGCCCATGCATTTTGAATGGATTTACCACAAAATTGAAACCTCTCTATTTAAAAAGTTTAGTTTTATCACAAGAGTAGCAGCATTATAATTTGCTCTATATTATTCTTTATAAGTGTTACTTATGAAGATGACTGCTTCTGTTTGTTAGCAGTATAGAAAGACCTACTCGTCTTCTACATAGTGAGGTTTCTACCCTAAGGTGTGTTTTTAATTTATGCAGATGAGAGACGTGGGAAGATGGTAGGCAGGAACAGCCAGGGGACATCTGTCAGTTTGCAAAATAGAAAGTCTTGTGAAAAATGAATTGCAAGGATGGGTTTAAAGGAATATAAGGAGAGCTCCTGGCTTTCCACTTAGAAAACTTTTGGAGAGCATGGAAAAGGATTTGCACAGTAGAGAGGCAGAAATAAAAGCAAGGAACAGGCTGGCATATGGGGTAATCATAGAATCACAGAGTAGTTTGGCTTGGAAGCAACCTTAGAGCTCATCCAGTTCCAACTACACTGCCACAGGCAGGGACACCTTCCACTAGACCAGGTTGCTCCAAGCCCTGTCCAAGCTGGTCTTGAACACTGCCAGGGTTGGGGCAGCCACAGCTTCTCTGGGCACCCTGTGCCAGGACCTCACCACCCTCACAGGGAAGAACTTCTTCCTAAGATCTCATCTCAATCTCCCCTTTGTCAGTTTAAATCCATTTCCCTTGTCCTATCCCTACAGGCCCTTGTAAAAAACCCCTCTCCAGCTTTCTTGTTGGCCCCTTTAGGCATTGGAAGGGTAAGAAGACGCAGTATTTGTTTAGGCTTCAAACTCATAGAAGATAAAGAATTCTATGGTAATGTATATTATGTTCAGAATGCCCTGAGGAGCATGATGTTAGCCAACATAATACAATGCTGTCAAAATTTGGATAACGTGTTTGATTTGGCAACAGTTTTTATAAGGTGTCCTTTTTCCTGCAGGTGTTTGCTTATGATCACTGCTTTTGGTCTATGGATGAATCTGTCAAAGAAAAATATGCAGGTAATATTTACTGTAGCTTTGTGCTTGTCGTCTCCAAGTGTGAACAGTCTTATGACAGTACAGTATTTGCTCCTGGGCACAGACCATATGGCATGAAGTGCTTCCCCCTGTATGACTGCTTGTCAAAATTAAAAGGAAAATCTTCAGTCATTCCTGTTTCTCTTCCCTAAAGATGATGATAGGAAAAGGCATTGCTACCTGTTTTCAGTGTAGGAAATTCACAAATCCGTCACAGTAATGAGTTACTCATATTTGCATCTTTATTTAAAATACTGTTTCAAGTCCATAATTTTAAAAGCATCAAATCCTTTTCAGGATTTGAGGAACATTTCTGTATGTGATTTCATGTTTCACAGTGCTGGTGGGAGGTTGGAATCATATTAGAACTTAATAATAGTGTATTAAAAAAAGCCTAATTTAATATAGGGCTATGTGAGTTCATAAGGTCTGGTGAGAATGTGTAATGTATTTAATTCAAAGTTTTCTAAGTATTACTATGGCACATTTTGGCAAATAGTTATGGTAAAATATGAAATATATTTGGAATTACCAGTTTTGTGATCTGTTCCTTTCATACGTATCTTTTAAAATTTGGATTTAGTTAAGCTTGTTTACGTTTATTTAAAGAAAATATCACAATAAAAATAATATGCATATGCTTCTAGATTTTAGTTTCTTTAACAAATAACTAATGAATAGTAATTTAGCAAGGAAATGAGAATAACTTGCACTTTCAGCTGTACAAATTACATAGGAAGATAAGATTCTTGTTTCTCAAACTAATGGAGGCACTTGTATCACTTACATTATGATCTCTTAGACACTGGAAGTGTTTGGTCCAAAACCATTCTGCTTATGTGCTCCGTTAGCCAGGCACAGCTATTAGTAGTTTTGCTGGGGAATTTTGCATGCATAAAATTCTGAGTGGACTTGAATGTAAAGATACAGACTTCAATGAATGAGAGAAAGGAAAAGCTTTCAGGACCATTAATGTATTTGAGAGGACTTTTCAGTCCATAAAGGTTTGCTATGTCTTGTTCAGACTTCAGTTCCTCTGTTTGTAAAAGAAATTCTGAAAATAGAGGTTTTGCTTAAACAAGTAATACCCAAATATATGGAGCATTTCTTCCCCTCCTTGGAAAAGGAGCCAAAAAGCTGTTGATACAGATTTGGTTCAATTACGAAAGAAGTGATATACCTTATATTTTGCTAACATATACTTTGTACTATGTCACCTCCCACATAGTTGTGATTCCTTCCCTGCAAAAATCACCTTTATTATTTAATATCTTATAAGTATACAGTAAAATTACCAAGTTCTTCAAATGTATAGGCTAAGTATATTTTGAGATGCTGTCATTTACCACTGGAATAAATTCTGCTGTTGGTAGTTGATTTTTTGTTGGCAAAGCCTTTGAGTATGAACATTGATAGGATGTTGTTTTAACCACATACAGGTATATGTGTGATAATTCTAGCTTCTGATTTTTGCAGTAGCATAAATCTGGAGCACATCTGCTGGCTGATGGTCTTGCTCATGTAGAGGGAGCAAGTACTCAATGTGATTTAGGCCGCAACAGCAGAAAATCATTAATTGCTTTTACATAATCATTGAAGAATCTAAATCAAGATAAAAACCCTCTCTTGCTTTATAACAACTTTAGCTTATGGGTTTTGTTTCTTAGGCCAAGATGTTGTTTTCAAGTGCCTTGGGGAGAATATTCTTCAGAATGCCTTTGAAGGCTATAACGCTTGCATCTTTGCCTATGGGCAAACTGGTAAGTCCCTTCTGGACGTAAGGGAGAAATAATGTTGATGCAAAAGGTGTTATGTTCTGACTGGAGACTCTTTTCACCGCTGTTGTGACATTGTTTCAGGAGAAATGCCTTGTGATGTAGATAAGAATTGTTTGTCTCTTTTGTAACGTTATCTATGAGGTCGTCAGGGTGAGAAATAGGATTTTCTCCCTTGCTGCTGACTACCCTTATTTCTCACACCTTAGATTATAATCTTCGGAATGACTGCAGTCGTCTTTGAGTTCAGTGCATCACTCGTATATTCTGCTTCTTCAGTTAGAATAATTTTTAATCATCATTTTAAATGGAACGTGCAAAAATGAGTATGCTTGCACAACTGATTTTTCTTATTGTGGCACATCTGTGGGTTTTAGTGGGTTGTCATCTACAGTGAGACTGTATCTACCTGAAGAAGTCTTCTCTATCAGTTTAAACTAAGTTTCTTGTTTTACTTTTCCTTTTAATTAAATAGTCTTAGCAAAATAGTGGTTTGGTTACTTTAAAGTAGAAAACTGTACAAATATCTTTCACTGAAATGCAAAATTATTTTTTTTACCTTTTCTATTTCCTTTCCATGCTCTGCACAGCAAGAAACCTTGTTGCATATGCACTAATCATAGATTCACTCACACAGGATCTGGAAAATCATACACAATGATGGGTACTGCTGACCAACCTGGATTAATCCCTAGACTTTGTAGTGGACTCTTTGAAAGAGCACAGAAAGAGGAAAATGAAGAGCAGAGTTTCAAAGTAGAAGTATCCTACATGGAGATCTACAATGAGAAAGTCAGAGATCTTCTTGACCCAAAAGGGTGAGTAATTTGTGTTTCAGGAGCACTGTACTACACTGTCATACACTCTTCCTTTCCATAACCAGTTTGCCTTAATGGATTCCACCTAAGGCATTCGCGTAGCATGGCTTTTGCTTCTTCCTGATCTCAGTATCCTTTCATTTTAAATCAAAATAAAGTAGTAAGACTGAAAGCTTGGAGTAAACTCACCCTTATGCTAGCTTTTACAAAGTGACAAAACGTCAGTGTCGGCATTTTACATGTAGACGTAAGTCTTTTTTGTTTGCGCTCTCATCCTTGTTCTGTGCTTTATTACAGTATTTGTAAAACCATAATGTTTGAGATCTGTCAGAAAGAAACAGACTTTTTATAAATGTTGTCTTAAGTCAGTCATGTGCTTATAAATACCTTTTTTTTTTTTTTCAACCAGAAGCCGTCAGTCATTAAAAGTTAGAGAACACAGTGTTTATGGTCCTTACGTAGATGGTCTATCCAAGCTAGCTGTTGCTAGTTACAAGGTAAGGATCAATTTTATGGAAGGCTTGTGTTGACATCCTAAACACTATTGTCCCTTAAGTAGAGTAAAACTACTAAGCTATTTCTAATTGCTGTGGTAGTAACATAGATTTTAGAACAAGAGAGCTGTAGGATTGTTGTATTGTGATCACCAGGGAGAAAAGTGTTAAGAGCAGAAACTCATCTTCATCTGGTACTAGTCAGTAATTCTGGAAATAATTCAACTATTTAATGAAACAGCTTTCATCCCAAACTTAAGATGAGTGTACACTGTGTCCATGAGAAAGCATTCTGTGATTAATTACAGAACCAGGATTTAGCAGAGACAGGCTTTCAGTACCACATTTTGTCACTGGCTGTCATGCTATTGCCTGGTAATTTCACTTACTGGTAGCACACAGACATACTAGAATTATAAACTGATGGTTGATTACAAGGAGAATTCTTGAGAATATTGCACAAAACTTGCTTGCTGGATAGTAGATGTTTATATATGTATTCACAAAATGCTCTAATTTGTAAGAAACATAAATGTACTGTGGAAGAAATTAATAAATATGGGATGGAACTCTGTCATCTTAAGCAAAACATGAAAATGGTGCACCCCTTCCTATTGCAGTTTCTCTAGATATTAATTGACCTCTCCTTGGTGGTTTCTGTCACGCCAAGACACATTGTGTGCTTTTCCTTTACATGTCACCCAGCAGCTTTGTGTAATGCAGCGTACGGAGTCATACTGGTCTGATCGTTTTTTGTGGGGTTTTTTTTTACCAACTTCCAGCTAGAGATGCATAAACATAAAAGGCCAGGACTCTAGAATTTTAACCATTTTGCAGGATTGCTGTAAAACCCTGAAGGAGGGGTTCAGTTTATTTCTCAAGTATCACAACTTAATATGTCAGAGGAGTTTATAAGCTCTTATACGTAGGAGGAATATAACGGCCCATTCAGTGTGGTTTTGTTTAATAAAACTTTCATTGAATCATGAATCACAGACTGATTTGGGTTGGAAGTGACCTTAAAGACCATCTAGTTCCAACCTTCTGCCATGGGCAGGGACACCTTCCAAAAGACCAGGTTGCTCCAAGCCCCATCGAACCTGGCCTTGAACACTGCCAAGGACAGAGTAGCCACAGCTTCTCTGGGCAACCTGTGCCAGGGCCTCAGCACCCTCACAAGGAAGAACTTCTTCCTCAGATCTCATCTAAATCCCCCCTCTGTCAGTTTAAAGTCATTTCCCCTTGTCTTTGAGCCTTCTGTCAGTAATACAAATTTTAGGAACATGTGTTCTACAACACGTGTTTGAGTGTTCAAACATGAATTGCTGTTGCCTTACTTTTTTTCTTGCTTTCAATTAAGGTGCATTATTTTTGTTGATAATTTAATATCTAGGTAGAGGTAACTAATAAATATGCATGTTGCAGCATTGAATCATTTCTAGTCTTTAAAGGGGAGATCACAATATTTTTTTCCTGGTTTTGTTGTTTTTTTTTATTTTATGAATAAACAGCAGGAAGCTTGGTGGGAAAATCCTTGATATATTTTACCAAAATGAGATTGTTTCAGTAGATAATTGAAAAGAGTGTTCATGCAGATATGCTTATGGCTGTGAAAATTGTATCTAGGACATCGAGTCCTTGATGTCCGAGGGCAACAAATCTCGAACAGTGGCTGCAACCAACATGAATGAGGAGAGCAGTCGGTCCCACGCAGTCTTCAAGATCATTCTTACCCACACCCTCTATGATGTACAGTCAGGGGTGAGTAAAACAAGTTGCGAAATCCAGATGTTAAGCTTGGATAGGTGTCTCTTGCTTTAGTATCTTTCATAAGCTCATAGAAAGGTTGGTTGGAAGGGACCTCAGGAGGCCATTTGCTATAGCCTCCTGCCCTTGTGCATTGCTAGCGCTGAATCAGGTTAGCTCTGGCTTGGGCTGGCTAAGTCTTAGTAGTGCTCATGTGCTTGTTTCCCAGTATAGGGAAATCAATTTGAATAGGTTTGGAAGTGAAATGTGGGGTTTTTTTAAAAGGAAAGCAAAAGTGCAGGCCCCAGGTTGCAGCAGACCTGCTGGAGGGTGCAGGAAACATCTCCTCTTCCTAGAATCTAAACTAAGAAACACTTTTTGAGCAACAGTGTGTAGTGCACAGACTTGGGGAATAACTAAAGATAAAATGTGTAGATGAAAAATAGAAGAACACCTGAGTATACATCTGGTAATCTTCTTCAAGGGGTTATTTTATGCAAATATGTATAAATGACCAACTTCTATAAACAAGAACACTTAGTAATTTAAAAAATTTTGCATTGTATGGCATTAATATTTTTATGTATATATTAAATATCTAAAAGACATTTAAATGTGAAATTATTTTTCTTTACATTTCCTTATATTTAAATATTCCTTGGAAGGGTGTGTGAAATATACTTATGTGTTAATATTATTTAATCCGTCACAGAAAATGGTGATAAACTAAAATTGAAATAGGTCTCCCATGCCAAAACTCTTTAAGTTGTTGATATTCTGTGCTTGGGCAATTCTTTAATATCTTTAATGATTTGGAGAATTTTGAGTGTTCATGGAGCAACTCTGAGGCGTGTATGTGCCTAACTATTGAATGCAATGTAAAGCATAATGAGCATTTGGGTTTTTTTCCCCCTCATTTCTCAGCCTCCACCAATCTTCTTACTCAAAACAGTTTTCCTTGTTCTTTATTTGGAATTTTTTTTGCCTTTACACTTCAAATCAGCAGTCATACTGTGCTTGCTTGTTGTGGTTTGTCATTCTGGCTTTGCTGTGGCTGTACTGTGAGCTTATCATGCATATTTTTTGTGTGGTCATGGTCAGCCTGAATGCAAGGTGGTAGTTCTGATTGTCTGCATCTTCCAGTGACCACTGTGTGAGTTTGTGGAACAGATTACTGTTTTCCCATCTGCTGGTTCTTTCAGTCCTGGAAATGACATGTTTCAGTATGGCCTGAAGATTACACTGTATGTTGAGAAGCTTAGAGTAACATTTTTGAAAGCCTATTATTCTAATTATCCTTTTCATTTACAGGAATGTAGCAGTTTGTGTTACCAAAATGCTAAAGTTGTCAATGCTGCAGGAGAGCATGATGTGAACAAACTGTTCTCAAAGGCAGTTTGCTTTTCAACTTCATATTGGCATATGAAATTCATGGAGTGTTTCAGAATGTTGTTTTGTGTCAAATGAGATTAAAGTATTTGTAACAAAATCTGTTACAGGTTTAAATACTCACATAGCTTGGATTGCTTTCTAGGAGGACATTAAGGATATAGGAGACCTTGCAGTTGTAATAAATTCTGTAAATTATAACATGCTTCTTGTTGGGTTTATTCTTTGTCTCTAAAAACCAGAAGCAACCTGGTATAAAATCTGAGGTTTTTAGAAGACTGTTTTCAAGATGGGATTGTAAACCCCGTATCTTTCTTTGTGACTGCTTGGCCTGTACTACCTCTGCATTTTTCTTGGTTTAAATTTTACTAATGTGCGCTGTGTAACTCTCCTCTGGAGGTTTCTGAGATCTCTTGAAGATACTACTGTATCTGACTTCACATACTTCTTTCTGAAGCAGCAACTAGTGAGTTAACACAGGGATACTATTCAAGTTCAATGACTTTCAGAGGTGTTGGAACAGCTGCAGAGCATCTACACCAAGAAGTGAAGCTTGATTCTTCTTAGAAAATACATCCAGCTGTGTAACTCAAGTGAACTAAAAGTAGCTGTTCTCTGGTTTCTTCTGCAGACTTCAGGTGAGAAGGTGGGTAAGCTGAGTCTGGTGGACTTGGCTGGTAGTGAAAGGGCAACTAAGACTGGTGCTGCAGGAGACAGATTGAAAGAAGGAAGCAACATTAACAAGTAAGACTCTGATTAATTATTTAATTTTTTTTTACCTTTTTCATCAGTGCAATCATGACTGCTAAATACAGCATGCTTGTGAAATAGGATAAAGTCAGTATAAGCTCTTGTAGCTGGTTTTCTTCTTCCCTTCTCTTTACTTCTTGTTCTGACATACCAGAGTCTTAAGCAGAGATCTCATTCAGACATCTGTTTAAAATGATTGGCATTTTTCCCTCTGTACTTGTGTTCCTATAACTACCACGTAATTGCATTTTGAAGACATGATGATTAAGGCTGAAAACAGGGAGTAGAGCTTTTGTGAGAAAAGAATGATAAAAACTGTATTAAGAACCTTCTTGGAGCTCATTTTTGGAGAGAAAGTCACTGTCTAAATATGCATTTGGCTTATGAATATTTACACTGGTTAATGGCTGCTTGTGTTATGTGTGCAGATCCCTCACAACCCTTGGGCTGGTTATTTCTGCCCTGGCAGATCAGGCTGCTGGCAAGAACAAGAACAAATTTGTTCCTTATCGTGATTCTGTGCTCACTTGGTTACTTAAAGTAAGTACTCTGATCTTGGTTTTTAAAAGAGAAATAGAAGTGAGAAGAAGGGGAGAAGAGTCCCATTCAGTGAAATAAAATGCTGTTCTGCCTCATTTTCTGGTTTTGATGTTAGCCAATTTGATGTCTTTGGAAAATTAGCTGGATGTAAGCCATTAGTATGTCTACAAATTAAATATGTTCCCTGTCTTCTCCTGACCTGTAGTGGTCTAAAGATAAAGGAAATAATATATATATATATATATGTATATATTTTCTGCATCATTTTACATACAGCTTCACGCACAACCTTGAGGCTAATTGCCACATGCAGATGAATTTTACATGCTGGCAAGGTTAGCTTTGAAGATCTTGATTAAGACCATTACCTTTTCCTAATTGTCTAATACATTTGTTAATATACTCTACTTTTGTCAGCAGAGTATGATTGAAGAGTGTTATCCCAATTACAGTCTGAGGAACAGGTCAGAAGACTTAATACATCATATTCATGTGAAATGAACAGTTAAATCATTTTCAATACTGTGTAGGAGTCTATTTGGTATTATTTTGGGGAAAATGAGTATATGATGATGGCACTTGGACATCTGTAAAGTCTAAATGAAAAAACACATTGTTAAGTGTGAGGTTTATGTATGTCAAATTAAAAGACAAACTTTTGAGTTTGTTGTTCTTCCCACTTCCTAGATACAATGGCAGTAAAGCATGGTAGCCTGATGACAAAAAATCTTGGGAGTACAAGTTAGATTTTAGGAATAGTTATCGTAAGGATTTCTCCCGTGTTCTGAATAAATGGGAAGCACAAATGTAGCCACTTGTTTTTATGAAAAGTTTGCCTGCTAGTGAAGATGGCCTGTCTGTCTTTTCCTTATCCTACTTGATACAGCTTGAGTGGTCTTGTTTGACCTGGATTTTGAAGGATTAGTGAATTAGGTGTCATATGTAGGTGACTTCAGTTTCTTTACTGTAAGCTGTCATTTTCCTAAAATTTTTCTCTTTCTTCCTTTGATTGTCAGGATGTTTCATAACCGTGTCTTATAGAAATACTAACCTACCAGGTTTCCTTTTTTCCCTTGTGCTCTGTTTTATTGTTATCAAGGAGCAGCTAAGATATTTGTCAGCAGAAAGGTATAATCTGGAAAGAAGCTGATTTTTGGTACCACCAGCCTTTTTTTTTTTTGTTTTTTTTTGTGGGGTTTTTGTGGGTTTTTTTGTGGGTTTTTTTTTTTTTTTTTTTTTTTTTTTCCCTCAGTGGGTTCTCTGGCTAGATTTGGTTGCCTTGAATGCTCTGCTTTGCCTCCTCACCCGTTCTTAGTAGTGTTTTTAGATGTTTCAATTGGACATCCCTGTGATTTAGCTGCACATGTGGAAAAAAAAGATTTAGTTGCAGGTTATACAGTAGTATGGAGATTAAAAAAGTTGTTTTTCTTAAGGAGATTTGAAAACAAAGTGGACTTCAGTGCTTAAATAAAATAAATATCTACTTGTGTAATCCCTTGATACCACACGTGTTCGTTTTTCTAAATGCTGTCGTTCAATGAACATTTTAGCATGACTACTGTGAAGTGATTTATCTCTTCTCCCCGTGTAAACATCACAGATACTCGTCATCAAGTAGTACAGTCATGAGGGCTACATAGAAATCAGAATGGCATAACAGAAAGTGTCTGTATTTTTCTGCAGTAAAATAAACCCTCACATCACAGCGTTCCTTGTGATAAGACGTTTTTAGTGTTTAAATATATTTTTGCCTCTATATAGTCACACTGAGTTTTTACTGTAATTAAACAAGTGCTTTTTGGCTCTATGCAAAGATGGGAACAAAACCAGCATGCAGCTTGCTTCAGTTTGCTCCATCAGCATGTGCCTAGGTTCTTGATGTGGCTGTAACAGTCTGAGCAAGCAGAGCGGAAACTTCCCTAACGAATTTCTAGCCTTGTTGTTAGAATTAGTTATGCTGCTCTATTTCTAAACAAATCCAGCAAGCAAACTGAAATTCCTGTTTAGCACCTGTCTGAAGCATTGTAGTCACGATGACGATGGCCGTACTCAGCACTTGCTTTAGCTCATAAATAGAAGTCCACTTTTGTTCTGCCTTCTTTCAAGCAAACCTTCTTTGTGTCTTTAACATCCAGCTATGTTAAGTGCAAACAAAAGGTTTTGGGCTTTTGAATTTTTTACAAACAAGCTCATTGAAGAGAAGCTTTATTTTGAAAGGGGAAAATTTAAACATTTTTTTAATTAAAGATCAAAGGAGGGATTTATTCGTTTAAAGAGGCCTGGTTGTAGAAGCCATGAGATAGCTTTCAACTTTTAATTGTGATGCTGAAGTGGAGTAAATGTGTTCTGACACTAGAAGTATCTGTCATATATAGGGTCACTCCACAAATCTGAGAAACAAACAGTGTTCAGGAGACCCCAAGATTTAACACTTTTTGTTTAATTTTGTTGAGGATCTTTAGATGGAAGTACCACGTGAAAAATATTATTGCAGAAGAAAGCTTGAAGAATGGCATCAGCTTATGTGTAGGAAGCAAAATAGCTTGTCAGTGCTTTAGTTTCTTAGTTTTATCAAATTGGCACAAACATCTTGTTTTCCCATTATATGCAGAAGCCCTGCGCTTTTACTGATGGCTGCTATTAAAAACTTAATTTCTGATGTCTACTTTTTGTTTTCACAGTAAACTTGGTGCTAGAGAAGTCTGGGCTAGTTTAATCTTAGAAATAATTAAACTTATTTATTTCCACTCTGTGTGTCTCTCCATCTCATGCAAGCCCAGCCCTGCCAGGGTAATTTGCAGATGCTGCCTGCTAATAAGAGGCTGGCTTGCTATTTGTCTACCTTTCTTGCTTAACATAAAAGAAACCAGTGAAATCAGCACAACAGTTTTATACATAAACCTTTATTGGACAGCCTGACATTGGATTCAAACAGCTACAGTCCAACAGGAACTTTGCCCAACTTATAATGGGTGTATTGTGAATTATGGTGTATCACTGTAACAGTGTTCTCAGCTGCCTGTACAGCAGAGTTGCAATTCAAATAATGAATTAATCCTATTTTGGAGCTAATTAGTGCAGTGAAGGAGGTTCCCAAAGAGCAAACTGTTAAGGTTTGATTTGGAAGCGGAGTACCTGGCCAGCTCCCTGATAAACTTCATCTTTTTATGCAGAGTAGGAACTGCAGTTGCAGAGCGTCATTCCTAATTTGTGAAAACCGTTGATGGATTGAAGAAAAGTGCTGGCTTCTCTAGAGCCAGAAATCCCACTGAATGAGTCATGTGCTCTTGTTAGTCTTTTTAAAGGTTTCAGTAGATGCTTTGGAAAACCATTTCTGTGTTACAAAGTGAATTCTATCAAGCCATGTATTTGTTGGAGTAAATATTGGCTGCTCCTCAGATGAGAAAAAAAAAAAACCACACTGGTATCATAGAATCATAGAATGATTGGGGTTGGAAGGGATTGTAAATCTCATCCAGTTCCAGCCCCCTGCCACAGGCAGGGACACCTTCCACTAGACCAGGTTGCTCCAAGCCCCTGTGTCCAATCTGGCCTTGAACACTGCCAGGGATGGGGCAGCCACAGCTTCTTTGGGCACCCTGTGCCAGCACCTCACCACCCTCACAGGGAAGAACTTCTTCCTAAAATCTCATCTCAGTCTCCCCTCTTGTCAGTTTAAAGCCATTCCCGCTTGTCCTGTCCCCACAGGCCCTTGTCAAAAGCCTCTCTCCAGCTTTTTTGTCAGCCCCTTTACGCACTGGAAGCTGCTCTAAGGTCTCCCTGGAGCTTCTCTTCCCCAGGCTGAACAAGCCCAGCTCTCTCAGCCTGTCTCTGTAGGAGACGCGCTCCAGCCCTCGGAGCACCTTTGTGGCCTCGTCTGGGCTTAGCTATTCAATCAGTAAGAGACTTTTCTTTACAGTTGACTTCTCAATAAATACTCTTACCTGCAAGTTCTCTCCAGCTGCTGGTGCACCTCACTGTGCTGAACACTGTACATATGAAATTATGTTTTCTATCCAATGAGTTAGCTGCCCTTTTGCATAACCAGAGACAGCAGTGCTGCCAATGCAGTAGCAAAGCAATGCTACTTTGTGTGGTCAATGCTTGTCTGAGCACTAAAGCGGCCAGGCTGCTGTCAAGCTATTTTAGACATCATGCAGCAAAAGAGAGTGTTAAAGAAATTCTTAAAGGGGTGTTTTAATGATTGCCAGGGAATGCTACATGTGTGCTTTGTAATTGAAATGGATAGACAAGCAGCTAATGTAGTCAGATTGTTCTAATGGCAATGCCTGACCTAGATTTCATGGGTTATTGAAGATGAAAGTTAATAGCAGGGTTTATCTCTGAAAGGGATATTGGGTAAAAAACAAACACACCCCTTCCACCTTCACCCCCCCCCAAAAAAAAACCAACCCAAAACCAAATAAACCAACCAATCAGAAGAATGATTTGCTGCAGAAGTTAAAGCAGAGTATTTTATCTTTTAGACTAGCCAAAATTGTAAACCAAAGTTTCACAATCCATAAAATATTGAATGCTTCCTTCCCTCCTGCCCCCACTCCCCCGGCACACTGCCTTGCAGGAATGTGGTTTCACGCCCTTCTTCTCTGTCAACCAAATTCCAAAAGGGTAATTTCTTACATAACTCTATTTGGATTGTGAGCTGTGTAAGCAGGGGTGGAGGGGAAGGGCCCCATACTGAAGTGTTTAGAAGAATAAAATTAGCTATAATGTTTGAGGAGATCTTTAAGTAATTTAAATTAGTACCTACTGGAAACATCTTGTTTCCAGTCTTCAAAATAGGGTATTCTGAATTCATCGCAATCTTTCCTAAGCACCTTCAGTACTATCTATCTGAGAAGTTTAATGCTGAAGTGCTTATATTTCTGGTTTATAAACCTAGGCAGAGAAAACAGAATTAAAACTTTGAAGCCCTTATAAGGCCCCATAAAGCCAAAAAAGTGACTGTTTTCATTCCTGATTAAACTAAAACTGATTCTAAAAGACAAGAATGAAATTTCCTATATGTGCATTAAAAAAAGTAAAAATAAAAGGAGATTGAAAATAACAACTTTCCACGATTTACACAACCTAAAATACTAATTTTTAACCAAGGAACTCTGACAGAAATGTTCCTGCTATTAGCTGCCCCATCTCCTCCCAATCCTAGGCTATTACTCACTGCCATTTACCATGTAAAATGAAAGAGACCTTCTGTTTTAATTTTATAACCTATAAAACTTTCCAGGATAGCCTTGGTGGCAACAGCAAGACTGCTATGGTAGCAACAGTAAGCCCAGCAGCAGACAACTATGACGAGACCCTTTCAACACTGAGGTACGCAGACCGGGCCAAGAACATTGTTAATCATGCTGTGGTGAATGAAGACCCCAACGCTCGCATTATTCGGGAGCTTCGTGAGGAAGTGGAGAAGCTACGAGAACAGCTCACAAAAGCAGAGGTACAAATTATAGTCTTGACTAGTCAGTAAGACCTGTAAACCCCATTGTCAAGACTTTCTTACCTGACTTGAATAAGGAAAGCCACAAAGAATGACTACATGGTGTCTGTGAGGAATCTCCCTTTCTAGTACTTCTTTACATTTTTCTGTACATCAGTCTCGAAACTCAGGTGATAATATGAGATACCAAGTTCTGTCTGAACACATTATTGAGCAGTCTTCTTTTTATTGTGAGGTACAGATCAAAAGCAAGAGGTCATAGAGGCAGGAATAGGGGTTAAGTCTTAAGGTTGTGTAGTTTATAGGCAGAGCTTAGCCAGTATATTTTAAGAATTCAGTGTGGCTACATCCTGCGAGATGTGAATTCAGTTAAACAATGCTTGCTTACTTATAGAATCATAGAATAGTTAGGG